CAGCTACTTGTGAGGCTGAGGCAAGAGAATCACTTAAGCCCAAGAGTTTGAGGTTGCTGTGAGCTGTGGGCCATGGCACTCTACTGAGGGGAACTTAGTGAAACTGTGTTTCAATTAAAAAAAAAAGATTTATGGCCAGGTGAAGTGACTCATGCCTGTAATCCTAGTACTCTGGGTAGTCCGAGGCGGATGGATAGCCTGAGCTCACAGGTTTAAGACCAGCCTGAGCAAAAAGCCAGATCCGGTCTCTACTAAAAATAGAAAAACTAAGGCAAGAGGATCACTTGAGCCCAAGAGTTGGAGGTTGCTGTGAGCTTTGATACCATGGCACTCTACCCAAGGCAACAGTTTGACATTCTCTCAAAAAAAAGAAGATGATTTATAAACTTACAAAGAAAGAATAAAATGATGACTGTTATTAGAAAGGTAGATAATAAGGAATTAATATTGCACAAAGTGTAAAAGTTTAGGGCCCCACAGAAGCTACTTGAATTCTTGATTCTTAGCGTGTAGAGACCCCTGCAACAGCTGTGGTAGCCAAATGGTGTTTGTTCTCACCTTATAATCCTCTCATAACAAATGTAATTCTTATGGATGGAGATAGGATCATGAGGAAAGAGCACATACTTGGTTGATCAAGTGCCTGGCTTTGGAAATTGTTGATAGCCCTTCCTTCCTGCAAGCTTACTATATTACCTTAGCCAAATGCCAGACAAATATCAGATGTTAGTTCATGTGGGTTCAGATAACAGAAGCATACTAAGGAAGAGTGAGTTAAGTAGCAGATTTAGAACTTGCCAGAAATAAAAGCCATCTCAAAAGAGATTAAGTTCCCTTCAGCAATTTTCCATTGCTGGCTATTACAGAGACCTGATGACATGTCTATTGTTTTTTTATTTGTTTTGTTTCTTGTTTCGAGACAGTTTCACTAAGTTGTCCTGGGTAGAGCGCCATGGCATCATAGCTCACAGTAACCTCAAACACTTGGGCTCAAGCGATCTTTTTGCCCCAGTCGCCCGAGCAGCTGGGACAAGCAGTGCCCACCACAACACCTGGCTAGTTTTGGTATTGCTCTCACTCAGGCTGATCTTGAACTGCTGAGCTCAAGCAGTCTTCCTATCTTGGCCTACCAGAGTGCTAGGATTACAGGCATGCTCCTGGCTACATGTCTGTATTGGAGATTAGCAAAGATAAGGTCTCCACTTAAACATTATATTGTGACAGAGCTTTAAAATGATTAACTCCTTTTTTAATAACCAGTTCTAACATGATTTTAGGCTATTTCACAGTCTATTCACAATTTCTGTCTATCTGAAATAAGAATGAAAGAAAAAGTTTTAAAAAATCTGAATGTTAACTCTAATGTTTTTCTTTTTTCTGAAAAGCATTCACAGCTCTGATGGAGGGCAAAATTAATAAACAGCTGAAGAAAGTTCTGAAGAAAATAGTAAAGGAAGCCCATGAACCTCTGGCTGTAGCTGATGCTAAACTGGGAGGGGTCATAAAGGTAAAGTTACAAATGTTTTTCATGTCTGCTTGTCAGATCCCAGCATACTGACTATAAAATGTACCCTTTGTTGTAAGTTGTCATAAGTTGTGTTTGGGGGGTTTTTTTTGAGATAGAGTCTCAACTCTTGCTCTGGGTAGGGTGCTGTGGCATCCTCGCTCACAGCAACCTCAAACTCTTGGGCTCAAAGCAATTCTCTTGCCTATGCCTTCCTGATAGCTAGAACTATAGGCACTCAACCGTGATGCCTAGCTATTTTTTAGAGATGAGGTCTCACTCTTGCTCAGGCTGGTCTCCAGCTCCTGAGCTCAGGCAGTCTACCTGCCTTGACCTCCCTAAGTCCTAAGATTATAGGTGTGAACCACCACACCTGGCCAAGTTGGGTTTTTCTTTTTTAAAAGACAGCTTACTCTGTCACCTCGGGTGTAGTGTAGTGGAATCATCATAACTCATTGTAATTTCAAGCATCTGGCCTTAGGTGATCCTCCTACCTCAGCCACCTCAGTAGCTAGGACTATCGCAGGTAGGCCTCTCAAGGTATAAAAGATTGCAGGCATGAGCCACCATGCCTGGCCAAATTATCATAAGTTCTTTTATTTTTTTGACACTTTTGCTCTGTTGCAGGGTGGATCATGGTGATGGTAATAGTTCACTGTAACCTCAAATTCCTGAGCTCAAGCAATCCTCTTGTAGTTGGAACTATAGGTGCTACTGCTAATGTTTTTTTTTTTTTTTTGGAGACAGAGCCTCAAGCTGTCCCCCTAGGTAGAGTGCCATGGCATCACAGCTCACAGCAACCTCCAACTCCTGAGCTC